ACAAGGCCATTCTATCCGGCCCACAGGGCCCCTAAAAAATTTAGAAAATTAATATTTATCTGCCCTTGGTTCCTGTCAAAAATGAACCTCAGGTAAGGGGGACGGGAGGGTGGAAGGGCAGGGGAGGAGCCCGGAGAAGAGTTGTCCTGGGAAAAGCTGAGCACATTGTAGGAAAAGTGGCCCCTCACCTGCCCCATGGACGGCACTGCAGCCACTCACAACCCACTTGAGGCTGCTCCGGACAGCCTCGCGGGCTGCAAGCGGCTGCAGCAGGGAGCATCGGCCATGGGTCCGGGGAGGGGCTGCTTTTCCCCACGCTCAGCTTTTCTCCGGGCTCCTTTCTCAGTGCAGAGGAAAGCAGCCCCTCCCCTACCCCATGCCTGGCGCCCCGCACTGCAGCTGCTCACAGCCCATGTGGGGCTGTCCTGAGCTGGCACAGGCAGCCCCAGGTGGGCTGTGAGTGGCTGCAGCATGGGGCGTGGGGCGCCAGGCACAGGGCAGGAGAGGGGCCACTTCCCCTCCCCCCCACGCTCAGCACCATCTTGTAAGCTGGCCCCACTGCCAGCCTGGGCCCCACACTGGCTCCAGCCTCATCTGTTGGGGCTGTGTGTGGCAACAGCAGCTGCAGCCCCCCTGCTTGCCGCGCCGGGCAGTGTTTGCCACTGTTGCCTCTGGGCTGCCCAGTGTGCAAGCTCTGGGTGGGCAGCAGCAGCAGCCAACACTGCCCGGAATGGCAAGCGGGGGGGCTGCAGCTGCTGCTGCCGATGGGTGAGCCTGGAGCCAGCGTGGAGCCCAAGCTGCCAGCAGAGCCAGATTACAAGCTGATGCTGAGTGCAGGGAAAAGTGGCCCCTTGCTTGCCCCATGGCCAGCACCCCACGTTCTAGCCACTTGCAGCCCACATGGGCTGCGAGCGCCTGCAGCAGGGAGTGCCAACCACAGGGTGGGTGAGGGGCCGCTTTTCCCTGCACTCAGCACCAGCTTCTGTCCTGCCAGTGAGCAGGGGTCAGGGCTGTGCGCTGCCCCCGGCCTGCACCGCAGAGCTGGGGGGCACTGTGTGTGAGTGGGTGCAGGAGCCAGTGGGAACACAGGGCCCGCACCGGTGTCCCAGGGCCAGTGCCGGCAGGGCCCAGAGCAGGGTAACAGGAGCGCGGGGTCCCAGTCAGCAGGGACTCTATGGAGCTGGGCCAGCTTCCCCCTCTCCCTACTGGTGCAGCCCAGCCCAGCTCTACAGACCCCTAACAGCCTTTGCCCCGCTTTGGGCTCCACCAGTGCTGGCCCTGGGACATTGGTCCCAAGACATTGGGACATTGGTCCCAAGATGGTGACCGGGGGCGGGGTAACCCATGCAGCCCTCAACAGCCTGTCAAAACTGAGTAAGCGGCCCTCTGCCTGAAATAATTGCCTGCCCCTGTGCCAGAAACTGTGATACAAATAACAACCATCAAAATCTGCCTGCTCTTCACTCATTTCTGCAAGAGATATAATGTGCACTAAGAAGTTGGTGACTAATGCAGTAAGTCCCTTGAGGCAAACTAACCTGCCTCACACTGCCAACCCCTCATAAAGGAAAGTGATAAAGGAACTAAAAGCATCATGAATATTACAGTTTAGCTATTTATTGCAATATAAAAGGTACTGCTATCTGCTACATTTCTGTGACTGGCCCATTACAACCTAAGAGACATCTTACATAGTGGCACATCTATACATTACCGTTGTGTTTTTTCCCCCTGTGGATTCAGTAAAAGGAGGTGGAGTAGGGGGAACCACAGATATTTTACTAGGAGACGAAAACAAGAAAAAAGACAAAAGAATTATATATATACCACATGTATTTGCAATGCTATCATAACTACAGCTGTTCCCACATTTTTCTCTTTCCTGAAATCTCAGGCCTCTGTCTGAGAGGTGCAGCACAGACTTTGCAGCCTGGAAAAGTGGGCTCTAAGCTGGCATGGGCTGGTCCAGCTGGAATAAAGTTTTGAGGGCTTAAGTTACTGCAGCCTTCCCAGACTGCTATGTAGGCAGCAGTGATACATACTTCAGCCTCACTACTGGCACATGCTTCCTACCCCAAGCATGCCTCTTCCTGCCACCTGCACCGGACCTTCTGAAGGGGACCACAGAAGACAGCCCTATGGCAGACTTCCAAAGGCCCTGTACAAGAGAAATTATCTCCTAGTTGGATTCAGGGCTCTTACCGTATATAAAAAAGAACAGATAAGGATCTCCTCCTTGTTCCTGCAATCCTAACACAATCCAAACCCTCAATGTACCTTCTCTATGATTGTCTTCTCTCCTTTCTAAGTCTTGAGTACTTACATGACTCTCATTACTGTTGTATCCAGTCATCTAAAAGTTTCCTGGTGGCAAACCTATATCCTACCAGAAGCACTTGGTTTGGCTTTGAATTGTATCTATTTTTATTTACTAATTTTAAAGAAACAGGGTGCCATTCACAAGACATACTGTAACAGGGAACCCTAACCCTGTTACTAAGAGACAGGGTGGTCCCTTTAAGTCTAGAACCTTCTAGTCATGGCCAGCCAGTCAAGTAGGGGTTAAGGCTCAAGTCATAGTTTCATAGTTTCATAGTTTCTAGGGTCAGAAGGGACCTGAGCAGATCATCTAGTCCGACCCCCTGCCATGGCAGGAAGAGCACTGGGGTCAAATGACCCCAATAAGGTGGTCATCCAACCTCCTCTTAAAAACCCCCAGGGTGGGAGCCTGCACCACCTCACTTGGAAGCTGGTTCCAGACCCTAGCCGCCCTGAC